CACTAAACCGAGCAACTCGGGATGGTTCACTTCGGGAAGACGTTGACAGGATATTTGAGATGCTAGAGAAACTCATTGCTGTCATGCAGGGTCGAGATGAGAGAAGGGAGCTACCCGACCCTCCTCCGCTGCCACAAGTTGAGTCATCACTGCAGCGAGAGGATCCCGAGCCACCCCGGTACGAGCCTGCTCCTCCACAGTACCACCCAATGCCACCGCCGCAGTATAATTCGGTGCCCCAGCCATAGTACTGCCCGACATCGCCACAGTATAATCCAGTGCCCCCACCATATCAGCAAGTACCACCACAGGGCCCCCCAGTCTATCCTTAGTCTGGCCCAGTCTCTCTTCCGCGGGACCCAGCACCTTCCATGATTGACCTAGTCTACGTAGAGAGGTACAGGAGACTGAACCCATCTACTTTTGCAGGGGAATCCTCTTTTGAAGATGCCAAGTACTGGCTGGCGGAGACGGAGAAGGCCTTCAAGACCCTAGGAGTGACTCCCGAGCAGAGGGTCACCTTTGCTACCTACATGCTGGTGGGAGAAGCAGACCACTGGTGGGAACTCAAGCAGACCACCTTGCCTGTTCCACTTACTTGGGAACAGTTCTTAGAAGCCTTTTATGCAGAATACCTCCCAGAGCACATCCAACATCTAAAGGAGATGGAGTTTGTCCAGTTGGTCCAGGAGAACATGACGATGTCAGAATATGCTCGTAAGTTCCTAGAGTTTGGCTGATACTCCCGTGAGATATTGATGGATGAGGGCAGGAAGGTTAGGAGGTTCCAGTGGGGCCTCCACCCATAGATCAAGTAGCATTTATTTGTACTAGAGCTCAGGACATACTCGGTCGTTCTGGCCAAGGCACAGTTAGTGGAGAGGAGCCTCTACACCCTCCCTCAGTCAGCAGGGAACCACAGACCCTCAGCTCCACCCCGCAGACCAGTACCTACTGCACTTGTCCAACATAACAAGAGGCCCAGACTGGTGATCCATGCTCCCCCTCAGGCTCCAGTAGCAGGACGTGGTAAGATCTGTCAGCATTACGCCATGGATCACGGGGACCGACTATGCTACTGCCTCAACAACAATTATCGCATTTGTGGTAGTGCCCAACACTATGCGAGAGAGTGCCCAAGGAACCAGAATCATGGAAGACCTCCTATCCAGGACAGGGTTTACAACCTTACCCAGCAAGATGCCGAAGCCGACTCGGACGTGGTACAAGGTATGTACACTATCTATAACCATCTTGCTCATGTTTTGTTTGACACCGGTGCATCGCATTCATTTGTTTCACATATTTTTACATCCAAATTTAATGTATTACCTGATAAAGTTAACTCAATATTATTTGTGTCTACTGCTAGGAGTGTAACACTATTGGAAGAAGCTATCTACAAGGCTTGTGCCGTAAAGATAGCAAATAGGAAACTGAATGTAGACCTAATAGAAATAGACACAGGGGATTTTGATGTAATTTTATGAATGAATTGGCTAGCGGCATATCACGCCACCGTAGATTGCTTTAGTAAGAAGGTTGTATTTAATTCTCCTAATAAGGAGCCATTTACAAATTAATAAAATCATATAGTATTTATTCCTTGATAACAAGTTTTCTTATTTGTCGAGTACCTTAACCTTGCTATTTTCTCTAACTAGGCAAACCCAAGAAAGAGAATTATATTCAAGAGATTCCGGTAGTATGAGAATTTCCAGATGTATTTCTGAATTAACTACCTGGACTGCTAGTGGACAGGGAAGTCGAGTTCACTATAGACCTATAGCCAGGCACCCAGCCTATTTTGGTTGTTCCTTACCGCATGAGCCGCATTAAGATGGAGGAGCTGAGGAAACAGATCACTGAATTATAAGACAGTGGTTTTATCAGACATAGTGTTTCCCCTTGAGGTGCCGGAGTCACTTTTGTCAGGAAGGAAGATGGAACGTTGAGACTATGTATTGATTACAGATGATTGAACAGGGTCACAATCAAGAACAAGTATCCCATTCCCAGGATTGATGACCTCTTCAATCAGTTGCAGGGTGCGCATGTCTTCTTTAAAATAAACCTGCGATCAGGTTACCATCAAGTAAAAATAAGGACAGAAGACATACCCAATACGATTTTTCGAATCAGGTACGGATACTATGAGTTCCTGATCATGCCATTTGGGCTAACTAATGCCCCAACCATCTTCATGGATATGATGAACAGGGTCTTCAGATAATTCTTAGATCAATTTGTTATCGTGTTCATCGATGACATCTTGGTCTACTCAAAAAGCAGAGAGGAACATGCTCACCATCTAGCTCAGGTTTTGCAGGTTCCTAAAAGAAAGAAGCTGTATGCAAAGTTGAGTAAGTGTGGATTCTGGCTTGAGCAGACCACCTTCCTGGGGCACATCATATCAAATGATAGAGTATTAGTGAATCCAAAAAAAGTTGAAGCGGTGCTCGGTTGGAAGAAATTGACATCAGTTAAAGAAATCTGTAGCTTTCTGGGAATGACGGGCTATTACCTCAGGTTCGTTGAAGGATTTTCTTGTCTGTCGGCTCCCCTAATCTGACTCACAAAGAAGAATTCCAAATTTGAGTGAAATGAAGACTGTGAAAGAAGTTTTTCAGAACTAAAAAGCGGCTGACTACTGTACCTGTGCTGGCTTTACTGAATGGATCGGGGGGAAATGCAGTTTACAGTGGATGCTTCCTATCTAGGCCAAAGTTGTGTTCTAATGCAGCATGGGAAGGTCATAGCCTATGGGTCCAGACAGTTAAAGAGTTATAAAAAAAATTATCTCACCCATGACTTAGAGCTTGTCGCAATTGTACACACCTTGAAGACTTGGTGCCATTATTTATATGAATAGACTTTTCAGATCTATACCGATCACAAGAGTTTGAAACACATATTCACTCAGAAGGATCTCAACATGCGTCAGAGAAGGTGAATAGAACTTCTTAAGGACTATGATTGTGATATCTTGTACCATCTGGGTAAGGACAACGTGGTAGCCGATGCACTCAGTATAAAAAGTGCAGGTATCTTTGTCCATTTGATGGTCTCAGAATGCAGGCAAATTAGGGCTACACAACAGGTTCGACTTCAGGACTTGAGGAGAGTCATATGTTTGGGTCATTTGACCGTCCAGCCTGAGTTAATCAAGAGAATAAGGGAAACTCAATCAGCTGATCCCGCCCTAATAGCCCTCAAGAACAATGCAGAACAGTGAGTTAGCTCAGAATTCCGAGTTTCCGCCGATGGGTTACTCCGATTTCAGGACAGAGTGTGTGTTCCAAGTGACAGTGAGTTAAAGAGAGACATCATGACAGAGGCCTATAGCTCAAAGTTTGTCATGCATCCCGGAAGCACCAAAATGTACCAAAGCATGCAACCCTGGTTTTGGTGGAATGGGATGAAAAGGGACATAGCTAACTTTGTATCTAAATGCTTGGTATGTCAGCAGCTCAAGGCAAAGTATCAGCACCTAGGCGAGTTACTTTAGCATTTACCGATCCCATAGTAGAAGTGGGAACATATCACCATAGGCTTCGTGACAGGGTTACCTAAGGCACGCTCAGGACATAACGCCATCTGAGTAATTGTTGATCGGTTTACCAAGTCTTTCCACTTCTTAGCCATTAGGATGACCGATCTCTTGGACAAGTTGGTAAGAATGTATATATGAGAAATAGTCAGATTGCATGGAGTCCCAGTGACAGTGGTGTCCGACAGGGACCCCAGGTTCACTTCTCGATTTTGGAGTAGCTTTCAGCAAGCCATGAGAACAAAGCTGTCCATCAGTACTGCCTTCCACCCTATGACTGATGGACAATCAGAAAGGATCTGTACACTTGAGGATATGTTTCGAGCTTGTGTCCTTGACTCTGGGGGCCATTGGGACGACCATCTGCCACTGATAGAGTTTGCCTACAACAACAGCTACCGAGCGAGCATTGATATGGCTCCGTATGAGGTGTTATATGGGCGCCCATGCTGATCGCCGATTTGTTGGGAAGAAGTGGGCGATAAAAAATTGTTCAGTCCAAGCTGGTAGAGGAGACCACATCCAAGATGGTTAAAATCAGAAGGAACATTCAGATGGCTCAGTGCAGGCAGAAGAGTTATGCGGACACCTGGAGGAGAGATTTAGCGTTTGGAGGTAGTGCTAGTCTGTAGGTGGCGGTGTCGTCGCCAGAGCACGGCGGAGCCACCGTGCTGGAATTCTGAAATTGACTGAGTAAGCCCTGGTCTGATTTTTGAGTTATTTGGGACATGTGTAGGTACTGTAATCGTGTTTTAGTTTCCGAAAAAAA